ACAGTGTTCTGAGAACCTTGTGTGGTTTCCACGAAATGTTCTTAGAACACTTCTGGTTGATGTTGTCTTGTTTTAACACATCGGGTTTCTGTTCTAAGAACATTGTTTTTTGTTTTTTATAACATTTTTGGGTTCTAAGAGCACTTCGTGGTAGGACTATAGGAATGCCGGGACGGTCGGTCACTGCTCAAGGAAGCACGCTCCACTCCCGCTCGGTGACGCACCGCCCTCTCTAGCCGCGCTGCGGGAAGTCTGCGCTGGCTCGGGGGTCCCAGTCCCTGTGGGATGTGTCCCCCCGTGGCGGTCCACGGGTCTCTGTTCGAGCGAGGCCTCGGGGCGCTCGGCCTGAGCTTCCGACACTGGTGCAGGTGGACTTCGTGATGCAGCGCTCATGTGAACGTTCGGTGGCCCCCCTATCACGTCTATGCCGGTGTCAGGCCGCTCCCCGAAGTGTGACTGCTGGATGCGATACCGCACGAAAAAATGATGGCGGCACAGATGAATTGGCATTTTTTTGCTGGGTGAGTTCGGGGGCGCGCCGCCCCTGGCTGCGTTCCCTGCGGCGTTTTTCAAGTGGGGTGCCCTGGGTTGCCCGTATGCGCGGACGGCTGGGGAGGACGAGGAGGAGGAGGAGGAGGAGGAGGACGAGAGGAGCGAGGAGGAGGAGGAGGAGGAGAAGGAGGAGGAGCGAGGAGGAGGAGGAGACGCGAGGAGGAGGAGGAGCGAAGTTCTGCAGAGCCGCCCGCCGCGTGCGCAGGCGTGCAGGCCGAGGCCGTTCACTCTCGAGGCGCCCGCGCGCAGAGCCTGGCGTTCTCAGACGGCTTGGGCCGAGGTTCTCACAGCTCCACGCCTGCGACGCGCTTCGGGGGGCCAGGGGCCGACGGCGCCCCCTCGCCCCCCCGCGCGCTCCCTCTTGGCGCTGCGAAACGCCACGCCTGCCGCGCCCTGGGTGCCTGCGACGGAGGGCGCCCGCATCTCTTGTGCGCGCCCCCTCCTGGCGTCCAGACGGTGCCGCGCCTGCCACGCTCTGCGACCCTGAGTCGCATGGCGCCCACCGACCCTTCGTCGCGCCGTGACGAGTGCCGCGCGCGCCTCTTGCTTGCGACCCTGAACCGTGTGGCGCCCCCACCCCTGCGCAACTCCTCATCTCCTCCTCCCTCCTCCTCCTCCTCCTCCTCCTCCCTCCTCCCTCCTCCTCCTCCTCCTCCTCCTCCTCCTCCTCCTCCTCCTCCTCTTTGTCCTCCCCCTCCTCCTCTTCCTCCACCTTCTAGAGGCGCCGAGACAGTGATATGCCTGCCATGTGTTACGACCCTCGCGTGGCGCCCGCACCCCTGGCGGGTCTTGTGGCGTCGAGTAACGCCTCCCGCGTGTTGCGACACTGAAGCGGATAGCCTAGCCCCCCGCCCCTGCGCACCCCCTCTGGCGTCCAGAAGGTCCCGCGCTTGCCACGTGCTGCAGCCTTGAGGCCGATTGCGCTCCCGCCCCCTGCGCACCCCCTCCGGCGTCCAGAACATGGCACGCCTGCAATGCTTCGCGATCCTGAGGCTGATGGCCCCTGCCCATTGCGGAGACCCTCTGGCGTCTAGAAGGTGCCACTCTCCCACGTCTTCAGGCCCTGAAGCGGGTGGCGCCCCCCCCTCCCCTCCCCCCCGCGCGGACCTTTTTATGGCGTCCAGGGAAGTACCATGCCTGCCACGCTTTTCTGCCCTGAAGCGGATAGCGTTCCCCCCTTCCATGCGCATCCCCTCTGGCGTCCAGGGAGTGCCGCCACGCCTGCCGCGTCTGTGCGACCCTGAATCGGATGGCGCCTCCCCCCCCCTGCGTGCACCCTCTGGCGCCCAGAGGATGCGACCCGCCAGGTGTTCCGAGCGCTGTCTCGTCCACGTGTCCTCCCTCTCCTACCTGCGTGTGCTATGTCGGAGGTTGGGGCCCTTGGGGGGTGTGAACGGAAGTGGCCCCGACCGGGACATCGGTTTCGGCTTCGGCTCGCGTGGAGCGCGCGGGCGAGGCGGAGCTGCGCGAGTTCCTGCAGTTGCTGAGGCCACAGGAAGCCCAAGAACTCGCCCGCTTCCCCCCTCGGTCGGGCGCGGCCCCCGATGGTTGTCCCGATGGTTGTCTCGATGGTTGTTCCGTTGGTTGGCTCGATGGGTTTCCCGGATGGTTGTCCCGATGGTTGTCCCGACGGTTGTTCCGATGGTTGTCCCGATGATTGCCCCGATGGTTGTCCCGATTGGTGTCCCGATGGTTGTTCCGATGGTTGTCCGGATGGTTGTCCCGATGGTTGTCCGGATGGTTGTCCTGATCGTTGTCCCGATGGTTTTCCCGATGGTTGTCCCGATGGTGGTTCCGTTGGTGTTGACCCGACGGTTGTCCCGACGGTTGTCCCGACGGTTGTCCCGACGGGTGTCCCGACGGTTGTCCCGATGATTGACCCGATGGTTGTTCCGATGTTGTCCCGATGGTTGTCCCGATGGTTGTCCGGACGGTTGCCCCGATGGTTGTCTCGATGGTTGTCTCGATGGTTGTCCCGATTGTTGCCGCGATGGATGTCCTGACGGTTGTCCCGACGGTTGTCCCGATGGTTGTCCCGACGGTTGTCCCGATGGTTGCCCCGATGGTTGAATCGATGGTTGTCCCGACGGTTGTCCCGACGGTTGTCCCGACGGTTGTCACCACGTTTGTCCCGATGGTTGTCCCGATGGGTTTCCCGATGGTTGTCCCGACGGTTGTCCCGATGGTTGTCCCGACGGTTGTCACCACGTTTGTCCCGATGGTTGTCCCGATGGGTTTCCCGATGGTTGTCCCGACGGTTGTCCCGATGGTTGTCCCGATGGTTGTCCCGATGGTAGTTTCGATGGTTGGCCCGATGGTGTCCCGCTGGGTGATTCCTGAGGGTGGACACGGAGATATATACATACATGGCTATATAGATCGATACATGTGTGGAAATATGGATTGATACATGCGTAGACGTTGATGTAGATAGATAGACATGTATATCGACATATATATACATAGGTGTATCTATATGTATATGGAGAGAGGTATCTATACACATAGCACCACCACCCACCACCACCACCACCACCATCGCCACCACCACCACCACCACCACCAAGAACTCAGAGCCATCGCAAATCGATCGCCTCCCCTTTCCCCCCCAAACCTCCTTATCACCCGAAGGGTGGTCCAATCGGTATGTGTGCTGCGTGTGTCTGTGTCTCTGTGTGCGTGCGCGGCTGCATGCTTGTGTGTGTGTCTAGTGTGCGCGCGAGTGAAGCTGAAAACGAGAGGGATCAATTGGGAGGTGGGGCAGACGCGGGTGGGGCGCGGGTGGGAAGAACATCCAAGCCCCACTAGCCATGCGGGGACAAACGATGCAATGTAATCCCCGGGCGCTCGCGCAAGATCCAGCGTTCGAGGCACAATGTATTTAGGATCGTTTTCTTGACGTGGATTCTTGGCCTGCACACAGCAAATAATATGCCCCCCCCGCCGTCCCAGTAGAGAAGCCTTCCAACGTGATCGCGGGGTGCTGGCGCATGCTCCAGATTTGGAGGCACATTGTATTCGGTATTGTGATAGGGGTGGTGGGCGGGTTGTTCGCGTGGTCCGGGTTGGCTGCCGGTCGGGTGTGGGAGGGGCGGTCTGTTTCTAGGGAACAGTGATCAAGTTTCCGCTCCGAAAGACGGCCGTGTCGCTCATTCCCGCCCGCCTGCTCACCACAAACATAGCAGCGGCGTCTCGGCATGAGCATGATCCGCCGTCGACAGTCATCGGGACATATTGCAGACGCTAGACAAGTGCGCGACGCCCGCGAGGTTCGTCGCGCGTGCCAGGGCCCTTCATCACACTTGTCAAGTAGCAATGCGAAGTTATCGTGGGGCGCTCTACAATGGTTAACATGTTGCTGCACATGTATTTCGTGTTGTTCCAAAACCTTGTCCTTCTTCCTCGCCCTCCTCGATGTTCCTCGGTCTATACTCTCCCCCCATTGCTGCGAGGGCTACCCGCACAACGGCATTGCGACTGGGTACACTGGGTACAAGAGCGGCGCCATCGACCTGCGCGGCGCTGGCTGGCTGACGGCGGACCCTTGAGGGAAAAGTCAAGGGAGGAAGAACCACCCGGACCGGACAATTGGCGTTTACTCAACGGCCCTGGGCGTTTAATAAAAGCCCTGCCCTTTTCGATTCCTTCCTTGGGTGCGTTTACTCAATGTCATCGCTCGTCGGGGTGGTTATTATGGGGGTGGATTTTTGCCCTCTACAAAGGAGGTATAGGGGTCTACACCGCCCAAAACAGCCTATGTTTGCCAAGGCGTGTCTACAGTGGCTTCGCCGCTTTCACTGGCCATGTGCGATGAGCTTGTTTTCCACCACCACCACAAGTTGGAGGGGGGAAGGAGGTTGAGGACGAGGAGGAGGAAGGAGAGGGGGAGGAGGAGGAGGAGGAGGAGGAGGAGGAGGAGGAGGAGGAGGAGGACCCCCTTCCCCTCCTATCTATGGTGGTGGTGGTGGCGGTGGAAAACAAGCCCACCAATGTGGTGTCTTCAACAGCCGGCCCCCCACAACAACATGATGCTCGGCGCGCTGTTTTTTTTGTGGGGGGGGGGCGGAGGAAGCAGGAAGCCGGCCGGCCTCGCCGGGCATCTGGCTTCGCCTCGGGCCTGCCACTTTCTCGGCTCTGGAATTTTCCCTCCAGGAGGGGAAAAAGACACAGACACAAGGGATTGTCGACCCCCAGGAGAATATGCGAAAATACGGGAGGTGGGGGGGAAGACAGAAACCCAGAAAATATGTGAAAATGTTAGGAATCCTGGGATTTGTGTATTTATTTGTGTGTCTCTGGGCCCCTTCAATTTTGGATTGGAACAACCACGTACTTCTGGAGGTCCATGTACGTTTCTGGGATCGGCGCTGGACCCCCTGGCGGCGCCTCCGCCGCCGCCGCGTGGGTGCGCGCCGAGGGGTTCCAGCGCCGATCCAGGAAACCTGCGC